CGACAAAAGAAGACATTATCACTGCCCAATGGTGCTCATTCAATGTTTGGAGCTCTTACACGTTTGCCTGTGTCACCCTTTACATTGAAAACAAAGGAAAACTGTTCTTTTGGTTTTATCCTTTTGTTTAGCTGTTGCATTAATTATCTCTGATTAATGATCTTTTCATTATTTTATCATTTATCTTCTATTAATTGTTTCCTTGCCTGATTATGTTTTCGTTTTGATTGTTGGTTTTTGACTTTAAAAGGAGAAAAGGTTGGTTCGTTATCCTTTCCCTGGACCTCGAGCTGATGCCGGTCGCGATGAAAATGCTGAAGCTTATGGTGCAGCCGTTGCAGCTCCATTGTCACCTCGAGTTAAACGTAAACCTCAGTATGAAGAGTTAGTTGAGGATTATTCAAAAGAGACTTACTCACAACCCAATGGCCGATCCTCTGTAAGATCGTCTGCATCTGGTGCTGCATCAGCAGCTCAGACTTACAGGCCAACTGTTGCTGATCCTTATGGTGAACAATCTTATCGATCATCCCAACCTTCAGCTTATTCATCTTCTGGTTCCCCTGATTCACGTTATCAATCAGCTGGTTTCGCATCCAGATCTTCCGGTGATTCGGTAAGGGAACATTCATTTTCCCAGATCCTTTCTGAGTTGATTTCCCATGACATTTATCCATCAGGCGGTCAAGATAATTTTGATACCAAAGTTTGGAATCCAATATGAGTTTTGATTCTTCGTTAGTTGATAGAAACATTGTTGGGAAACATTTGGTTAACTAACATAATGGTCTTTTATTTTTTTGCGAATAGATTTAAGATTGTCCAGCTTTAGATCAACTTGGATTAATTAATCTGCGACTATCAACCTTGGCCTTGATTAATGAACAAAGCATTCTTACTAATCTTGATAAATATTAAGGATTGAATGAACTCAATGAACTTGCCACAGAGTGAACAATCATGCAACAGTTAACCAGATTTTGATCCAGATTTGTCAATAATCAAGTAAATAGCAAAAGTGCTGTGTGCGGTTGTAATATATTATTATCTTGATTTAGGAGTGCTGATTTTCATTATGATGGACATAAGACTTTTGTTATGAGACAATATAATTGGTTTGACTCGATCTGACCAAGATCGGTCATTTTTCAGGTCTACAGTGAAAAAGGTCAATTACATTATTGCTATCATGATTATTATGATTATGATTATCATTATTATTATCATTTCTTTTGGGGATAAAAGAGCCACTAATTTTTACTTTTCACAATTAATATGAACAGTGAACTTAATCCAAGTGACCGTAATACGATTTACACTTTGTGATTAAACTGTTAACTTTTAGATCATTTACTGTGATTTACCTTTCTCGTCTTCCAATCTTCATCATTATTATTGCTGTCACTATTTATCTTGCAACAATTGTTAATAACAGACCAACAGTTTACAGACAATTTAATGATAATTATGATTAACCTGAAAGAGAAATGAAAAATTTGCTCTTGGACAAAATACAGTTTAGTCCAGTTTTGTGTTGTCCATTATAATTTGGCCTGTCAATTCCACCTTTGATTACCATCAATATGACAATGACCATCAATTTTAATTCACTTGTCAAAAATTTGAACCAATTCACTTCCAACACCATTAACCAAGCTTACAATCAACAAGAAGATAATGCCTATTGTTCATATTTGATGAATACTTTCACTTTAGATTCCAAGACATGTTAACTCAAGAAAAGTAAATCATGATTATCATTGATCAACTATTAACACTATCAACTACCATCTTAATCATCATTTGATATAAACCATTTCGCTGTTGGTCACATTTAACAATTTAGTCCAATACAGAGCGAAGACAATCAATGTTAACATGTTTAGTTAACATATTTGACTTGTTTGTTTTGAACAACAAAATTTCATTTCTGAATAATTATTCACATTATAATTCAATTTTTTACTTCCAATCAATCAATCACTAATCAGAACTGTTGATTAATACATGATGAAGTAAACATTCATCAATATATGTAATACTAATTCACTGTTGAGGAGTAGGAAGAAGTGAAAAACCTAACTTGATCGGAAGTTAATCAAGTCAATATTTTTTTTCATCTTCACTCAATGATCAGTTCTATTGATTGCTACTGTTATAATTAATCACAGAACGTGGCTTACTACTGATACCTAAATCATAACGATAATTGTAATCACAATAATATAATTTACTTCTCTCACCGATTCACTGTTAACAATTTAACCTGATTAACGGTTGTTTGGCAGAGTGGAAACAAGTAAAATGTACAGATTAGGTGTAAATTTTTTTCTTACTAACCAACTCACTTAATATCATTTTGAGGTTAACTGGATGAGGTAAGAAGCAAGAGTGTTTTTTGATCAGCACCACTTAAAGATGCTGAGTGAATAAACTGATGATTGCTCATTATTTCCTGATTTAATCGATTGATTTTGAAGGCAAAAAGGATCTTAAGTGTAGCTTTAGTCTTGTTGTACATGTTCATACCTTTCTGGTGAGCATCAAAACTGCCTTACCTTAAGGGTTCATTTTACTGCTAGATTGAAATATTAATCAAATAATGTGAGGAGTGATAAAAAAAACGAGAGTAAAAGAGTTAACAATTAATTTTTTATTCATTAGATTAACAATTGACCTGTACTATTTTGATTGAAGTCGCTTGATCTTGTTTTAGGTTTATCGATTTTAGGAAGTGACGTTTTGATTTTATGGATTGTGCTAATGTAAAATCACTTATAATCAATTTATAAGCATCAAGTGTGGTCAATTTAGTTTCTAAAATTTACTTTGAAATTAACTTGATGCAATGGTTTTAAGTTGATAGTTTAATAGTTTACTCAATCAATCATCAGATGGAGTTGTGATTTAGTTTGCCCTTGAACCTAAAAAGCGGTAATTTTTTAGGTTTTTATTGTGAGTTTATGGATTAGTCTTTTTTGTTAAATGTTTTCCTGGTTTAATGATTTGTATTAATATTAGCTTTTAATAGATAAATTTATTAATTTTTTTTACTCTTCTTCTTCCAGTATGAATCAAACAATCGTAAAGAAGCTAAAGCCAAGGAGGAAGCTGAGGAAGAAAAGAAACCAAGTCGATTAGAGCTTCTTTTGGCTCAATCTAAATTTACTTGTAATGGTAAAAAGGATGGTTACTATGCTGATGCTTCTGTTGCTTGTCAAGTCTTCCATTACTGTGTCGGTGGTGCCAAACATTCATGGCAATGTCCAGAAGGAACCGTTTTCCATCAAGTTCACTTGAACTGTGTCCCAGCCAGCCAAGATATTTGTGCTCAATCCGAGAAATTCTTTGTTGTCAATGATTACCTTCACAAGGTAAGATATACAAGTTTTAATTCTGGTTGGAAAAACTTTTCAACTAATTGTTTAATTTTTTTTCTCTTTTTAGCCAATTGATAATGGTGGACCCAACAATAGTGTCCGATATCATCAAAGATATTACCCTGAAGAATTCCTTGGAGATCCATTAGCTGCTGCTTTCCCTGCTGGTGTTGAAGGTGTTCAATCATACCCTGCCAAACCAGTTGCTGTTGGTGCTGGCTCTGGTCAATCTGCCCCTCGATCTCCTCAAGGCTATTCAGACTCTTATGAACATGATTATAGTGGTGAAGATAATCGTCAATCATCTCCTTATAGATCACAACCAGTCGCTGCACCAAGACCAGTTGCACCACGAACCCAACCAAGCTATTCACCTTACTCATCAAAGCCTAAACCATTGGCTTCAGGACCCCCTTCACAGCCTTCTTATACCTTCTCAGCTAAACCATACGCTGGTTCAGGATACGCTTCAGACGCATCTCGATCTTCATACTCTAATGATGAAACGGATGAAAGATCATCATCTCCCTATCGACCAACACCCTCACCATATTCAGGATCAACTCGTCCATATTCAGGCTACTCTGGTCCATCATCTTCATCTTCCTCATCATCACCGCCATATGCTCCACCAACTTCATCATCAAGTTACTCACCTTACAAACCTGTAACCCTTTCAAGTCCTTCACCAAACTATGGATACTCACGACCATCATCATCACCCGTATCTTCTTCAGGTTCAGCCTACAATTCAAAACCAAGTTCCGTGCCTTACTCTTCATTCCCATCATATTCACCTTACTCATCCAGCGCATATGGATCATCTGCTGCCTCCGAAAGAAACGTCAGACCATCGTCTTACGCTCCTCGAGGATATTCAGGAACCTCAAGTAAACCATATGGATACAGTGGTGTTACTTATGAGGAAGATTATTAATTAAAAGGCCATACAATTTGATGAAAAGCGAATGAAAAATACAAATTTTCATCATGGAAATAGCCAAGTCATCTTATAAACTAACATCATAATCATCTCTAACATCTTCAACATCATCACAACTTTCACCTTTCATTTCTCAACTTCAAGCAAGATCTTGAAGCTTGATTTGATTCAATATATCATCCAGAGAAATTACCTTGTTAAATCTTATACTTTCAAGATAATTGATTATTATTATAAGATAATTTTATAAATAAGCGACCACACTTTTTTTACCAATTGTACTTTTTTCCATCGACTTAAATCGATAAACAATATAACTTATACAATTTTTAATGTTTCACTTTTTTCACGAATCGTTCAAATTAAAATTGGATCGCAAAGATCATCTCTCAATCAAAAATTTAGGCACTTCAAGATTTACTCATAATAGTTTATTGTAATAATTATTTCCATAGAAATCAAATTAAACAATTGTTTTAGTTTAAAGTGTGTTGTCTTTGTTTAGCCTAAAATCTGTATTCAATCAACCAAATTGCTATTTGAATCTTACTGTAATTTTACCATACATTACAATTGTATTCCAATGAACATCATAAATTGTTAATTTTTAGTCTCGATTATCCATAACAATGGTTACTATTTGAACAAGACAATGATATAAAGGTTGGAGCTGCAAGGACAAGGGTCAAATGTAGAGTTAATAATGAAGATACAAATTTTTTATCCAAGATGAACAATTGAAGAAAAGTGAATCCAACATTTTTTTCAGACATTCGCATCAAGAACAATTTAACCTGAAATTAAACTTACAATGGTTAATAATAAATAATTTAAAAATATAATTTCAGGCTTACCTCCTGTGAATCAATGTGAGGCAGTAAAGTAATTTTGTGTAATTCATCCAAAGATTTGTAGGATACAGTATTGACTTGAACCAATGTATAAGTCAACTGCACAAGAGACACCAATCGCAAGAAGAAAAGGGCGATTCTAGAATAATATTCAATCTCATTTTCAGTTGAATAATATTTATAAGATACAATTGGACTGAAAAATATGTATTTAAAGTATAAGATTGGAATGATTAACCAAAAAAATGCTTCACCAGCCATACAAGATCTAATGGCATCCGAGTAAAGTTTACGAATAATGTTCAACTCAACTGTTGTCCCATGAATTTTGCGAGCAAAAACAGCAATCTTCCAGTTAATCAGTTCAAAGGTGATCTCAAGATATGTACAAATATAAATTATTAAGAGATGGGTTGAGATGTATTGGACTCTAACAGTTATTGAGTAAATGGTTGGCAAGCATTTTCATTAGTGAATAGTAAAAGTCCGAATTGAGTTCGGCTGCAGTCGAAAATCGTTGAAAAATCGATAACAATATACCAATTGGAATTGTAATTACACAAATAGTGAACCTTTTCCGTAGCTTTAATTTAACCTTTTCATATGGATTGAACAAGATTTCAGGTTGAAAACTAAACACTGATTGTATAAGGTTGAAAAATGTTTCAGTTTTATCCCATTTGATTCCAAAAGTCAAGACAATACCTTCGAGTATATAAAACAAATGATACATAAGTGTAATGGCATCATGATTGTATCCAATAATTATCCACACTCCTTGAATAATACATGTTAATCCAACAATTTTCAGCAAAAACCCAAAGACAACCCGTTTTTGACTAGACAACATTTCAAATCCAATCTTTCAATATTGTATTAGGGTGTCAAATAAGTTTTGCGGTTCGATATGAAGTTTTGGTCGAAATCAAATGAAATTTTGTTCAATCGAAGTAAGCACCTCTAGCTTTAATACAACGCTCTAATCTTGACTTCAGAGAGCTAATACCGCTTCTGTACCATTCTGGTGATTTTGAGCGGAAAAAAGCGTTTAGAGCGTTAGTGACCTCCGTTTCTGAGTCAAATCTTTTTCCTTTGAGCGAGTATTTCAAATTTTTGAACAAAAAGTAGTCTGAGGGTGCTAGATCGGGGGAATAAGGGGGATGATCTAGTGGTTGGAACCCAAGTTCGGAGATTTTGGTTCGAGTTGCTTGTGAGGTGTGTGGACGTGCATTATCATGCAATAAAATGACTTTTGACCTCAGTTTTCCTCTTCTCTTCTCTTTTATATTTTCTCTAAGTTCGTCTAAAATTTGACAGTAACTATCAGAGTTGATTGTGGTTCCTTTTGGCATAACTTTTATCAGAAGAATACCTTCACAGTCCCAAAAAATCGTTGCCATGATCTTACGACGCTCATTTCTTATCTTAGGAATTTCAGGCGGTTTTGAACCTCGAGGTAACCATTCTGCACAGTCCAATCTGCTTTCAGGTGTTTCATATGAAACCCATGTTTCATCACCAGTAACGATTCGAGACAAAAAATTCTCCCATTCGTCTCCAAATTCTGCCAAAGTTGAACGAGCGATTGCTACTCGTCGACGTTTTTCAGTCAATGATAAAGTCTTTGGGACCCATCTTGCATTCATTTTTTGCAGGTCTAAATCATTTCTCAGAATAGTTCTTGCGGTTTCATGAGACAGCTCGAACCTTGCACTAATTTCTCGGGTAGAAATCCGTCCATTATCTTTAACAAATTTTTGAACATTTCGAATTGTTTCGTCAGTTCGCACTTCTTTAGGTCTTCCTGATCTGGGTTTATCTGCGATCGATTGATGGCCCCACTTGAACTCTCTGAACCATCTTTGTATTGTTGAAATGCTAGGGCAATTATTTCCATGAGCTTTGAGCAATATTTCATGAATTTGCTCAATAGAATGGCCTGATGCATATAAAGCTCTGATTGTTTCACGATACTTTTCACGATTCATTATGTTTGAAGGACTGTAACTTTGTGAATAATTGGCCTAATTTGATCTTTTCTCTTTTATTTTAATTAGATTTGGCTAAAAAACGCTTAATTCTAATATGATCAAAATTAATTATGCTTTTAATAGCGAACCGCAAAACTTATTTGACACCCTAATACAAGTGTAAATTGTTTCAACAAGATTCAAATGCCAATTCTTTCAAATGCGTTAACAAGTTCAAGCTCAATTTCATTGAATCTTTTTAGGTTTGCCCAAAAATTATTGGCTTTTTTTATCCAAAATCTGGTTAAATATGAAATTAGCTTCAACTGTGAATGTGTCTTTTCAATCAAATTTTGATTGATCTAACCTGGGTAACTGTCTCTAAGCAAGTCTCCAAAAATAGTCCATATTGATCAATTTTAAATGTTATTATTTAAAAAATTATTGAATCTTGGCGTCTGCTTAATATTGATTTACTCACCTATGGTGAATTATAAATGATAAATTGTATTATAGAACCTTGCTACCATATGGTAATTACCGTTTTGCATATTAAACAGATTCCTTGATTCTTACGTTGAAGAAGAAGTCCACTTCTGGGCGATAACAACCCAAAACGAGCCATTTCAAGCTATTACAAATGAAGACTTTTTTTACAAAAATCTAGTTTTAAGCAGAAAATGGGCGAGATTGGGTTAAATACAACTTAGGACCTGAACTTGAAAAGGCTGGTTATGGAAGAGATAAACTAAATTTCCTTCTTCTCGATGACAACAGACGTAAAAGTTGAAGAGCTGAAACTTATTTTTTGTCGATAAAATTTGTCGGTACACATCAGCGATCGAAAACTGTTTTCAATTTATCAACTGTTCTCTTGATTTAAAAAGCAGATATTATCAACGAAAACAGAAAGACTTGCTGGATCGATGGCTGCGTATGTCAGAACACTTTTACAACTGATGACGCAAAATACCTTGTAGGACATATTTTGGAAAAGAATTATCTGATTGTCTGCGAAGGATGCCATCGAGGGGTTTCAGATTGGATGTTCTTTTTGGAACATTTCACAGAAGATTGCTTCATCACCCGTCCAGTTAAAACTAGCAATTAGCAAAACTTATTTACTCTTTTTCACCGATCTAATTAAAATCATATGCATACTATTTATCTTCATATCTCGAGTGCCGATAAAATTGCAATAAAAAATCATTTCAATATTGAACTTATTCTTTGTTCTTTTCTTAAACATCAAAAAATATTGTATTTGATAAGCGTGCAAAATCGCTTTAAATATCTGAGAATTGCTGCAGGAATCATGATTGCATTTCCTGCACCTCAGTAAATACATAACTAGTTTATTACCATAAGAATGTTGGCTTTAAACACTCTTTAGTTGATAATAGTCCATCACCTCAGTTTCTTCGCATTGCATTTACAGATCGGCTACCTCATTACATTCTCATACCCGATGTTGCAGTGAGGTTGCGTGTCAACAAACTTTGAGATGTACGAGGACCAAAATGCAACCAGATTGAAATAACATGGGCTTTCAATAAGATGAGGGTAACAATTGCTGGGAGTGCTCAGTCAGCTATAATTTGCTTTAGCCACTGAGTATCTTCTAGGTAGCGACAAAAAGATCAATATGAAGTGCTGTTTGATAACGATTTGTTCGACTATCATGATTATATTAAATTTAGATCGGCTACCTCAGCACATTCTCATGTCTGAGGTTTGCATGAGGTTGCTAGTCAACAAAATTTATGATTACGGATCGAAATGCAACCAGATTGAAATAACATGGTTTTTCATTAAAATGAAATTAAAAATTGCTTGGAGTACTCTTATCTGAGTCAATCTGAAGTTTTGAGTCAATCGCAAATAGATAGAAAGTTATTTAGCCAAGTTTTTCGTCAAAAAAGCGAAAAAGAATCACAACAAATATGAGGTGAATTATTGAATTTATTTTAATAAGCTTATTCAAATTTGATTTTGTGGTAAATTTTTTACATGATTTTACAGTTTCAAAAACTATATTCCTTCTCATATTAATACCTAAAAGATGATGAAAATGTGATTTAAAATCTTCCCAAGTGTCGTCTTTGTTATCAACCGCAAAGGTGCAAGGATCAATCGTTCCATCTAGAGCATAAACTGCACCATAAGGTTCATGGTCAGATTGGTCAGCTACATTTTTTGGTTTTCCAATTTCAACAGTATAGCGATATTTGTAATTTTTTGATGTACACAAATAATCAATTTCATATTTACGTTTTTTGTCTTTCCATTCATTCGGCACCAAATTAGTGAATAATAATAAATAACATAATAAAATTTGAATTTTATTTTTCGGTTCCGTTGGATCGTATTCGCGGTCAACTGATTTTCCGTAGTAAACATTTTTCAAATTGAAATCCCCTGCAAGAACTATTGCATCAACTGCGTCCCACACCTTACCTTGAGCGTCTTTACCCCCCGTTTGCAGCCGCATGACTGCAGAAAAGACGTCTACTAAATATATAAATTCATTTTTCGATCCTTTACACGTTTTGTGGCAATTGATAATTCCAAGCGTTTTGTCATCACATTGCACCACTGTTGCCAAAAAATCTCCACGATCATTGGCAAAGGTTTGAATAGTCCCTTGAAAATCCTCTCATGAAAATCTTTTGAAACAAGTTAAGATTTCATTAATATTGTCATATCGCCATGCTGCTCGTTTAGATGGCGAGCGCTTAGCTTGGTTGTCTAGCGTTCCACACAATCCATGTTTGAACTGATTGCTGGCACTTATTGAAATTTCTTGGAGGCAAACTACACATTTTACATCATGATAATTATGTTCGATGTATTTTAAGGTGAACCAGAGAAGGTTAGGTTTTTTGTAAAGGTTGTGATTAATTAAGCAAAATTCAGTCATTTCAAGAAACTCAAAGGAACGAAAATTAAATGAACTGAAACTAAATGAACGGATGTAAGGATACGAAACTAAATAGAACTTTGCGCTAAAAGCGTTGCCATAGTTACGCGTTGCTAGCTTATTGCTCCTTCATCAATTTGACTCTTTATTGTTTGTTTTATCTTGACTGAGTTTTGTCAACTTTTATTTGTTTTTCATGGCAGGTCCAGTTTTCAACATGGGTAGGAAAGTTGCCGCCAATCATCTGCCCAAAATTCGCCATAAATCGTTAAAAAAAATTACAAATGTTTGTAAATGTAAAAGACATCCATATGCTAAGGTAGGTAATAAATATCATATGCTAATAACTATCTGCTAATTAATATTTCTTGCTTTATTTTATTTCAGGCCCTCAGTCGGATTGCAGCTATTGTTTCTCGACATTCAGATCCAGACTTTTATCGGCAACATCGGATTAAATTCAACAAGTATTTGGACAAGATTTATTATCGTTATGGTCTGCCGAAATGTAGCAAAGATTGCTATTATTTATATTTTGATACTTAAGTAATTAATGAACCATAATGAATTGGTTTGTATTAACGCCATTAAAGATCAATTTCAATATTTTAATCTACCGTTTTCGTTATTGTGTATTTTGTGTGAAGCGCGTGAAAATGCTAGAATTTGTAATAAGATGAGAGTCACTGGCAATCAGTGGTAAAAGCTGAAGTCATTTTTCTTGATTCTCCGCCTCCAGTACTTCTCGGTCCTGAGAACAACCTGAGGTTGCCAGTCAAGTGAAATGGAAGGCAAAGAAATTCTGTTTAATTAAGTTCTATTCAATTTTCTCAGTCTTTTTCGCGTTCAAAGTATTAATTAAGAAGCAAACTATCAATTTAATATGAATTGTCCACTAATTCTAAACTGAAAATTGAATTGATTAGTTTAATCATATATACATTGAATACTTGCTTAGGAATATGTAGCTTAATATGTAGAAGATAGATTTTCAATCAGAATTTTCTTACAAAATTGAACTTTAATCAATTAAATTTATCTAAACTGGTAAAAAATCTAAAAACTTTGAGCCTCAATATTTCGAGAAAGGTAGCAACTACAATCATCATTTTTGTTCGTTCATTAGATTTAGTTATGAGCTATTTTACGATATACTGTATATTTCAGTACTGTATGTATAACGTACTGTATATTTAAGTACTAAGATCATGTACTAGATGATTCAAGATCGGAACCGAGCCAAACTAACTCCAGTAATGCTCATGCTAAAGCTTATTGATATTTTGTCTCCCCATTTGACATTATATGTTAATTATTCTGTCATTAAATCCTTGAATCAAAATGCACCTGAAAAGTCTGACTTATCTAAAACCATGAATCTAGACATGAAGCAACTGAACAAATTAGGATAAAAGGATTATCCGACAACCTGACTTAATTGCACCAGATTTATCCTATTTCGATATTTAATTATCTTGACTGTTATTAAATTGAACAAGATCAAAATTGTATAAATATATCTCTCAATTCAATCAATTCATGATTCGTTTCAGCAAATAAACCATTTGTGTCTCAATAATTTCATTTTACAATTGACTTCAAGTGAAACTCCAAAGAATGGATAGCAAAGCTTTTCTATCGTATTTAAATCTAATGAAGTTTGACTTTTGTATAATTTTTTTCGCTTTTGCAGTTTTCCTCCAAAACATGGTAGTTACTCAATTGGTGGAGGATAAAGCGTGCTTGAACCATCTTCAATTGAACCAAAGTTTTTGCTCCGAGTTTACATCTTATCCCGAATCAATTGAAACCCAAGAGATAATTCGCATTGCCAATTCGTTCAAAAGATGGCAATTTAATCTCACTCATATGCCATGCTTATTGCTGTCCATTTTTGTTGGCTATTGGCTCGGAAATTATCCAAAGTATTTCAAGTTCATGGTTTTGTCAGCCTTTTTAGGAGGCATTTGCTTGATCCTCTTGTTGCTGGTCAATCTTTTTGCTTTCGAAGCATGTAAGTATCAACCTTCAAGTTGATCATTCCTCAGATATTACTTATAATTTACTTACCAATCAAACTAACATTTCGATTCATTAGCTTGGTGGGCGATAATATTTTCTTACATTCCTATTTCATTGTCTGGTGGCAATTTTTTGCTATTCAGTGCCATTTATACTTCCATTTCATGGGGAACACCGAGTCATTTGGTAATTGTGCGATTTTCCGTCATTGAGTTTTTCGTTAAAACTGGTAAGAAATCGCCAGTTGAATAAATTTTTCCAGTCAAAAATTCATTTCTATTCATAATTTTTCAAGCAATGCTGAGCTCTAGTTATTCAAGTGGAACGATTCTTGCAATGGAACCATGGATTGGCGATCAGCGGAAAAATTTTGTTGGTGTTTTATTGACTAGTTTATCATCGTACACACTCGGGCTTATTTATACAATTGCGATGAAACCCAGTTTTGTTGTTACCAAAAATCCCGAGAAAGATGATGCTTCTTTCCCTCAAGTTATCAAGGATGTCTTCCGTTTAATGCGAGCCAAAGAGTGTCTAGCAATTTTTTCAGTTAAAAGGCCGAATCAGGGTCGACTTCGACTAATACTATTGATAACTTCAGGAGCCATTTGTAATGCGGCACTCAATAGCGAAGACAGTATTGCCTACCAGTTTGCTCAACGTGTTTATGGACTGACTGAAAAGGCATATACTTCAATGTTGACCCTTGTTTACATACCACCGACAATTGCTACTTCAACTGTACCTTCATTACTCAGGTTGTTACATCTTTCCGATTCGAGTATCGCTATATTTGGATGCTCTTCATTGTCTGCATTTTTCGTCATTAGAGGAATATTTTTGTCTGTTCGAGGTTACATTGCTGGATATATAATTGGTTCATGTGGACGAATCTCCAGTGTTGCTATTCGAAGTCTCATTGTAGCTACTGTCGACTCGGCGGAATCGGCACAAATCTTTACTCTATCAACTGCTCTTGAAACTTTTGTTGGGTTAGGAGCTACATTTATGTGCACTTCAGTGTTTAGCTTGACAATTGCTCATCAACCTGGAGCTGTGATGCTTTTGGTTGGTACTATTATACTGTATCCATTAACCGTTAGTTTATGGATAAGATTTGTTCAAAATAAAAAGATTAAAATTGTAACTGAGACACAAAACGACGAAACCAAATTGTGAGATTCAAGTAAATGTTTAATTGTCTACTTCGTTTAGTCTCTTCCGCTTCGACTTTTTCCGTTTGCATACTTTTCTACTTTTCCATTGATTATTGTAGAACTGTCACTTTATGTTAGTTTCTAGGTACATTTAGCTACGATTTGGAGCATAATTTTGTATAACAGTTGATAACAAATGTCATGCATGATAATGGCAAAAGAAAGGTACAATTTTGTTTCTGTTGATTCAAACAATTTAATTCAAAAGATCATGCCTCAACTCAATCAATCATTGAAATTTCACCCAACGACAATTCAATGATTATTTACAATTGCAATGAACAAAGAAGTGCTTGTGATTAATGAATAAAAATAAATGCTTAAATTTTCTTTCCATTTATTCAAACAAGTCAATTCGAAAGATCATGCCTCAGTCAATCATTAATTACTTTTTACAACAATCTGGGTTTTACACCAGAAAATATTCAAGACTGGGTTAAATACGACTTAGGACCTGAACTTGAAAAGGCTGTTTATGGAAGAGATAAACTCAATTTGATTCTCGATGACAACAGACAACTTCTTCCTATTTGCACTAAATTGTTCATACAGATGAAACACCTGCTTTCTTCATTAATAACATTGCTTGCCATTGGTATTCAGATGTCAAAACTTATTACGAGCGACTCAATGTTGCTCATAACCACTTTTCGAATCATTTTCTCATTTCGAGTGAAGCAGCTGAAGGTTATGACAGACTTAGCACCAGAAGAGGTTAGAATCATCAAGTGAAACTGTCATGGGTCACTTTCAAAATTGACACGCAATATGTATTTCGTTTTATTTCAGCTCAACTTGGAAACTGGACTCGAGCCGAAACTTATGTCAAAGATATACTCGAAGATCTTAATCGTTATACAACTGGTTGGGTTGATTGGAATCTAGTTCTTGGTACAAAAGGAGGCTTTTCGTATGAAAATAATTCGGCTGATGCTCTAATACTTGTGGACACAGATAGAAAAATTTATCATCGTAATCCAATGTTTTATTCATTGGGGCATTTCTCCAAGTTTATCCCGCCAGGTTCAGTATACATTGGCCATCAAGTTCAAGGTAACTCTCGAGGAGTTTATTTAGCAGCTTTTGAAGATCCAAGTAACCAAATGGTTATTGTTATCCTCAATACAAATGATAACTCCGTTAACCTGGTTATCAATAAATTTGCATCAGTTTCAGTTCCAATAACTTTGGATGGACACTCAATCAGAACATTGACAACTCCTTCCAGCAATGTCAATTAACTGTTACTGCTGATAGGAAACTTTGCTCAATGAATTTTACTTTCTTTTGATTTCCCTCTCATATCATCTGTAATGCAAATAAATCTTCTTGTGTCAAAACATTACAGAGCATTCAATTGTCCAATTTTAATCTGAAAAATCCTTTCTTAATCCTTCCTTAATCCAAGTCTAAGTCAAGCCAAGCTCATCTTATACAATGAAATAACATCATGAATATCTCTAGAACCTCCAAGATCATCTTTCATTTCATTTCAACTCCAAAATTTCAATAATTTAAATTGAAAAGATCCATGTGTCAAAGGGTTCCAATTGCATTGAAACAAGTTCAAGCTCAATTTTTCGATCTTTTGTTTGTATTATAAAAACGTCTTTTAAATTTGTGATCCAGCTTTTGGACAAAAATTGTGACGATTTAAGATATTGTTGTCACTTACAATAGTTGTTAGATGACAATAGTTTTCAATCAACCTCCGTATAAATCGATCAGTCTACACTGTTACACTTAAAGAATGATGAATTTATGTTGTTAATTATGATTGATTTATATGCATTTATTTCTAATTAATACGAGGAAATTGCATTGAATCGACACTTTAACATTGATTAATGAATCTGTAAGGATGAATTTGATCCATTATTGAAAGTTGTTTTAACTTTTTTACCTTTGATTTGCATACAAAAATTGATCTGAAAAAAACTTTACTCATTGATTTACTAATTAGTTTAATGAAATTTCAACTGATAATTGCATTGAAATGTATTTCATCCTATGAATAACAATTGGTTGAAATGGCGAATGTGAAACTTTTCAAGCAATTCATTTGTTCAAACAGTTTATCATTAACATCAAATGTTACTAACGTAAGCCAATGTTCAAGTCTCCTAGCTAAAGATCTGAAACATTTAAGGTTTACCTTTTTTATGCAAATTGAGTCTTGATCATTGAGTTGTTACGTTTTTCTTGTACAATGTTGATACATTAAAACATATTGAAAGTTATTGGAAAATTTTGTTAGTTTAATCATTGAGCAATTGAAATCCATAATGGCTTTTCAATTGTCAACAGTAGTGTTAATTGTTTTACAATTTCAGTTGAGTTTAACTGATCATTGTATTAAAAGGTACTTCAATCAAAATTCATTTGTTTGTGCTTGTGATACTCGTTCATGCCCTTCAATACCGGGAACAACTCGACCTCCTAAGGGTTACATCGATCAATGGGTTTCCTCACGAAGTCTACATCGTTTTCACTTGACTCGACTCAACCTCAACCGTTTAAGCAGACCATTATTCCCTCCATCACTTGTAGTCACATTGAGATTGAATGATCGCAGGCAGACTATCCATGGTTTTGGTGGGGCCTTCACTGATGCCACAGGACTAAATTTAGCTACGTTACCCATGGCTTTGCGAGATCAAATAATGAGAGATTATTTCTCAACCGATGGAATAGATTATTCAATTGGTCGAGTTCCAATTGCTGGAACCGATTTCTCTGCTCGTGTTTATTCTTATGATGATAACAACGGTGAAGAAGATTTAGAATTGAAAAACTTTGCACTTCAACCTGAGGATATAAATTTAAAGGTAATCAACTTCACTTTTTTAGGCATCGAGCTTCTTCCAAGTTTCATAATAAGCTTTTCTCAATTGTTATTTCATTTACAGATCCCAATGATCAAAAGAGCTTTAGAACTAAAAAATGGTCCATTCAGATTGCTTTGTAGTCCTTGGTCATCACCAGGCTGGATGAAGACTAATGGCAATATTATTGGAGCTGGCTTTCTTAAAGGCGTGCCCGGTGGGCCTTATTATAAAGCTTGGGCCAAATATTTAGTTAAATAAGAGTAGTTACATGTAAACAATTGAAATAGAGTTCAAGTTTCAACACAACTATTGTTTTTTGTTCGACAGATTTCTCGATTCTTATTCAAAAGAGGGAATCAACTTTTGGGCAATGACAACTCAAAATGAGCCAAATATAGCTATTGAGATTGGTATCTTTTTATTGCATAACCTTCGTTTTACACCCGAAAATATGCGAGATTGGGTTAAATACGACTTAGGACCTGAACTTGAAAAGGCTGGTTATGGAAGAGATAAACTCAATTTGCTTCTTCTCGATGACAACAGACAACTTCTTGTTAATTACACTCAGATTGTTCTTAAAGATGAAACAGCTGCGTCTTTCATCAACGGAATTGCCTTCCATTGGTATAAGATCAACAATCAACCACATTATAATGAACTCAATGTGGTTCATAATAACTTTCCGAATCACTTTCTCATTTCAACTGAAGCATGTGAAGGTTATCAAAGCTCAAGCGCCATAAAAGGTTAGAAGTACGGTTAATCATCTATTCATGATCTGACATCTAATAATTTTTCGGTTTTATTTCAGCTCAACTTGGAAACTGGACTCGAGCCGAAACTTATGCCAAAGATATAATCAAAGATCTTAATCGTTACACAACTGGCTGGGTTGATTGGAATCTAGTTCTCGACACAAAAGGAGGCTCTTCGTATGAAAATAATTCGGCTGATGCTCTAATACTTGTGGACACCGATAGAAAAATTTATTATCGCAATCCAATGTTTTATTCATTGGGGCATTTCTCCAAGTTTATCCCGCCAGGTTCAGTTTACATTGGCCATCAAGTTCAAGGCAACTCTCGAGGAGTTTATTTAGCAGCTTTTGAAGATCCAAGTAACCAAATGGTTATTGTTATCCTCAATACAAATGATTATCCAGTCAACCTGATTATCAACAAATTTGCTCAAGTTCCAGTTCCAATAACTTTGGATGGACACTCAATCAGAACATTGTTAACTCCTTCCAGAAAAGTGAATTAACTGCTATCATTACTGATAGGAAAATATTAATATTATTAAATCTTTGCTCAATGAATGTTTCCCTTTTCTACTTGCATCTCAATTCATCTGTAATACAAATCAATCCTCTTGAGCTAAACATTACAGAGCATTCGAACTGTCCAATTTTGATTTGAGAAATCATCTCTTGATCAATCATTCCATTGCTTTTTTCTTGATAGAGAAAGTCTACCAAAGCCATAATTATAGTCAATGATAAGGCCCACATTGAGGCAATAAACTTTGATTTTTATAACGATCATAAGAGTTGATTATTTCACACATAACGAAAAGTTCTTATTGGAAATATTACATAAAGTTTTTACGAAGAGCAAATGAAAAAACAAATTGCTCACAGTAATCACTAAGCCATCTCATACAACAAACTATCATTTCTAGCGTCTTCAACCATCTTTCATCTTTCGTTTTTTACTGGCCAGTTAAACTTGAACAGAAATGAGACGATTCACGATATCGTTGTCACCTAAATGACCGTAGTTTTCCCTAAATATCCGAGCTGATTCACTCAGCTGATGCTGCTGCATTTAGTCAAAGTTCGAGTCACCAAGCTATTAAAACTAATGAAGATAATAAAGCAATAAAGATCTGAAAAATTCAAGGTTGATCTTTTCGTTTCATTATTCTTGATCTTTCAGTAATTACTTTTTCCTTTTACTATGTTGATGCATTGTAATATTAAAAGTTATTGGAAAACTTTTGTTTAATCAAAGAAGAAGTAATCGAAATTGAAAACCATAATGGCTTTTCAATTGTTAAAATTAGTGTTGACTGTTTTACAATTTCAGTTGATTTTAACTGATCATTGTATTAAAAGGTATTTCGATCAAAATTCATTTGTTTGTGCTTGTGATACTCGTTCATGTCCATCAATACCGGGAACAACTCGACCTCCAAAGGGTTACATCGACCAATGGATTTCCTCGAGTCAACATCGTTTTAACTTTACTCAAATCGACCTCGCGCGTTTAACAAAACCTTTAAATCCTCCAACACTTGTGATCACATTGAAATTGAATGATCGAAGGCAGACTATACATGGTTTTGGTGGGGCCTTCACTGATGCCACACGACTAAATTTACTCACGTTACCCATGGCTTTGCAAGATCAAATAATGAGAGATTATTTCTCAACCGATGGAATAGATTATTCAATTGGTCGAGTTCCAATTGCTGGAACTGATTTCTCTGATCGAGCTTATACTTATGATGATAACAATGATGAAGAAGATTTAGAGTTGAAACACTTTGCATTGCAACACGAAGATACAAATTTAAAGGTAATAAACATTTGTGATTCGAGCTTTCGATTTAATTTTCTCAATTGTCATTTCATTTACAGATTCCAATGATTAAAAGAGCTTTAGAACTAAAAAATGGTACATTTAGATTGATTTGTAGTTCTTGGTCGTCACCAGGTTGGATGAAAACCAATGGCAAACTTGTTGGAGCTGGTTATCTTAGAGGACTACCTGGTGGACGTTATTATAAAACTTGGGCCAAATATTTAATTAAGTAAGTAATATTTGCAACGCAATTTTACTCACAATTATTGATGTTATTAATTTGATAGATTCCTTGATTCGTATGCTGAAGAGGGAATAAACTTTTGGGCAATGACAACTCAAAATGAGCCAGATATAGCGTTTGAAGTTTCGGACTTTTCCTTCCAAACACTCCTTTTTACACCAGAAAATATGCGAGATTGGGTTAAATACGACTTAGGACCTGAACTTGAAAAGTCTGGTTATGGAAAAGATAAACTCAATTTGCTTCTTCTCGATGACAACAGACAACTTCTTGTTAATTGGACTCAAGTTATTCTTACAGATGAAACAGCTGCGTCCTTCATCAACGGCATTGCCTTCCATTGGTATAAGATTAATAATGAACCACATTATGATGAACTCAATGTGGTTCATAATAACTTTCCGAATCACTTTCTCATTGCAACTGAAGCATGCGAAGGTTATCAAAGCTCAAGCGCCATAAAAGGTGAGAATCCCTACGAAATACTATTCATGATTTGGTCTTCAATATATTAGTTGATTTATTTCAGCTCAACTTGGAAATTGGACTCGAGCTGAAACTTATGCCAAAGATATACTCGAAGATCTTAATCGTTATACAACTGGCTGGGTTGATTGGAATCTAGTTCTCGACACAAAAGGGGGTCCTTCAACTGATGGGAATTCGGCTGATGCTCTAATACTTGTGGACACTGATAAAAACGAGTATTATCGTAATCCAATGTTTTATTCTTTTGGACATTTCTCCAAGTTTATCCCACCGGATTCAGTTTACATTGGCCATCAAGTTCAAGGTAACTCTGCAGGAGTTTATTTAGCAGCTTTTGAAGATCCAAGTAACCAAATGGTTATTGTTATCCTCAATACAAATGATAATCCAGTTGACCTGGTTATTAATAAATTTGCTACAGTTCCAGTTTCAATAACTTTGGATGGACACTCAATCCAAACATTGATAACTCCTTCCAGTAATGTCAATTAACTGTTATTTTGCTGAAACAAATTCAACAGTAAGCAATCAATAAATTTTACTCTCTATCTATAAAAAAAATGTATCTTCTTGGTCTGTAATAAAAATAAATCGTCCAGAGATGAAGATGATAGAATATTCATAGATTGCCAAATTCATTTTCATGATATTGCATAGATTCAAGTGCACCAAAGTGAGTTATATTCGCGTTTTTATCATATCCATTAATAAACATCATTCATTAATCACTTTGAACAAAGTACACAGTGTTATCGTTAAACGCAATAAGATGTGAGAGCAACAAATTTTATAAAAATATTTTTATTTGTCAGATATTACTTTAAGTAATTTGATAGACTAGAGTACATTTTCATTTTTAGACTGACCATTTGACAATGTTGCATCAATTTCAACATTACTTGGACCAGTTAACATTTTAGTCTTTTTACTTTGAACAAATCTTATCCATAAACTAACAGCTAATGGATACATTATGATTGAGCCGACTGTAAGCATCACGGCTCCAGGTTGATGAGCAATTGTCGCACTAAATACTGTAGTATATAAGAAGGTTGCTCCTAATCCGACAAAAGTTTCCAGTGCCGTTGAAAGAGTAAAGATTTGAGCAGATTCTGCGGGTTCGACGGTAGAAACGATGAGACTTCTAATTGCAACACTAGACATTCGTCCACAGGAACCAATTATATATCCAGCAATGTAACCTCGAACAGACAAAAATATTCCTCTGATAACGAAAAATGCAGACAATGATAAACATCCAAATATAGCGATACTTGGACAGAAAGGCCTAGAACTTGAGCAATGATGGACCGATTGAAGTAGCAATGGTTGGTGGTATGTAACCTAGGGTCAATAGTTTTTTGTACGCATCTTCAGTCAACCCATAAACACGTTGAACAAACTGGTAAGAGATGCCATCCTCTCCATTAAGTGATGCATTGCAAACAGCTCCTGAAGTAATTAATAGTATCAATCTAAGTCGACCCTGGTTTGGCCTTTTAACTGAAAAAACTGACAAAAATTGTTTCGCTCTTGATAACTGGAAAACATCTTTAACAACTTGAGAGAAAGAAGCATCATCTTTCTCCGGGTTTTAGTTAATAACGAAATTGGGTGTCATTAAACCCACATAAACAAATCCACAAAGGTTCATTCCTAGACTAGTCAATAGAACTCCGACATAATTCTTGCGATGATTACCAAACCACGGATTCATGGCGAATATGGCACCACTTGAGTAACTCGAACTAAGCATTCCTGTAAATCATACTTCGATTAGCACACAATCATATGCATTAAACTTCAATTGACTTACCAATTTTGACAATAAACTCAATGACAGCAAATCGTATAATCACAAGATGACTTGGTGTTCCCCACGAAATGGAAGTATAAACACAACTGAACAACAAAAATACACCTCCGCACATTGAATACGGAATATACGACAGTAATAAAGCCCACCAAGCTAGTTAATGAAAGATGTTATTCAATCAATTTCAAGTAGCTTAAATGGTAAACGATGAGTTGAAATGTAACTTACGAGCTTCAAAAACGAAGAGATTGACTATTAATAATGAAACTTGACAAACGCCACCAAAAAAGACTGTCATGATCATGAGTTTGAAATACTTTGGATAATTTCCCAGCCAATAGCCGATGAAAATGGACAAAAGTAAACATGGCGTATTGATGATAACGAACTGCCAGTTCTTAAATGTATTGGCAACTCGAAGTATTTCTTGGGTTTCCACTGAATCAGGATAGGATGTGAAATCGGCACAAAAACTTTGGTTCAATTTAAGATGATTCATACAAACTTTGTCCTCCATTAATGTGGTTACAGCCATCATTTGTATAAGATAGCCCATAGCACCAAATAGGATGCAAAAGTCAAATTTCATCAAGTTTAAATACGAAAGGAATTCTTTGGTATTCATTTTTACTTTTCACTTTTTGATCAACTTTTACTTTAAACAAATAAATAATATTACCGAATGGATAGTCGATTAAATTGAGAAACTATTTATTCTGATTCTGTTTTTATACCCTTCAGATCCTATTTTCATTTATGGATATTGAATCAATCTGGGATTAAGCTGTAGATTATGGATAATCGTTTGCTTTTTTTGCACTCATTAAATGCTCGAGTGTAAAGTCCTCTTGTTACAGTGCTTTGAACTGAATACTTGACTGTAATTACAGTCAAAGGGTTATTCGTTTAGGCATTCGAATTTCTTCCGTCCTTCGAACTTCATTTGCTCCAGCTTTTCTCAAAATATTTTCTGGTGATTTCAAGCTTTTGATTGATCAAAGCCTCAAGATGAAGGTCGTTTTTGTGATATTATTGTTTCATTTCTGGTTAAATTTCGATTCAATTTGAGTAGAAATTTTCATAAATCACAATTTACTGTGCAAATTAGTTTGTTAAATTGTCTTTTTTTTTAGTTTGATGATTCCTTAATGGATTCAATGCTCTGATTTAAAATGTTAAATGATTCAGTGAATGAAGAGTCAATCGGTTGCGGGTCAAATTTTGGTGTTTGGATTGCGTTTGGTGAAACAATACAAACAACGACAAATTTCAATAGCTTAATCCAATGATTTCACCATATTCATACATGTATTTGCACGTGTAATAGTGCTAGCTAATGAAACTATAATCCAATGATTTCCCATGAATAATCTTTTAAGCCTCATAAGCACATTGTCAGGTGTAATAGTACTAGCGTCTTATGATAATAAAGAACCAGAATCTTTATCTTTAGCGGAATCTTTATTAGAAGTTATTGAAGAAAAATATCAGATGCTTAATGAATATTATCAACTTGAATCGACTCAACAAAAAATAGCAAAAGGAAACTATTCGGATCTGTCTAGTTTCGAAATCCATGAAGCATTTTGCATATTGCTAGCTCTTTCTATCAATATCATAAGCTATTGACATCCCAAGAAAAATGGATGAGACAAGTTTTTCAAGTTCAACCTTAAAAAGCTCTTTCAAAAATATTCTCTACAAATTTTTAGTCTTGGTCCAAAAATTTATTATATAATGAATAACTTTGTCAAACAAAATATTGGAACGAGGTGACTTGAGAAAACATTTATCTCAACCTTTCTTTACATCATTCAGCGAAATCTTATTTCAATCTAATAATATTAACAAATCTGGGATGTAATTAATCGATAGATTAGTCAAATTAATACTTCTTATGGCGTAATTTGTTATTTTCGCACTTCATCAACGCACTGAGAGTGTCAATGTTACAAGGTTTTTTGATTTCATGATTGGGACAAGTCGATATTAAATGGAATCAAAGGGTTATTCGTTGGTCAACTTTTTAATCCATTTTCTCTATTCAAACTTTTTCCATTTGAGGTTCGTTGAGAAAATTTCCACCAACTTTTATCAGATTATTTTCTGGTAATGCCAAGCTTTTGGTTGGACGAAGCTAAAAGATGAAGCGAAGCTTTGACCATTTTAATCGGCAGTTGTGAGGATAATTCTGTTGAATTTCTAGTAAAAATTTCAATTCGTCAGAACTTTATTCGAGTTTAAATTTTCATAAATAACAATTCACTGTCTAAATTGTTGGTTCACTCTGTGCTATTCGATTTGATGATCTCTCATTGAAATCAATGCTAAATGAATTTCTTCTGAAAAAGGTCTTGAAGAGTGTCAATCAATTGACCATCAAAATTTTCAGTGCAAACGTCCTTGCCTTTGATTAAACAATAAATCTTGACATAATTCATTGATTCCAAAAGTGATTTCTCTTATAATATCTATTCAAATCTGTTTCAGGTGTAATAGTATTATGAATAGTAACAAAGTTTATGTTAATATCAAACTCTCTCACGCATCGAAAAATTATTCAATACCAGAAGTCTTAACCATGATCGAGAAAATGTTATATCAAATGGATAAATATTATCACATGAGTCGACTTAACATGTTATTAGCTGAAGGAAAATATCCAGATCTGTCTAGTTTCGAAATCCATGAAGCTTGATATAATCGCTATATTCATCCATCGAAATCATCTTTTATTTTTCTTTCCATCTCATCTGTAATACTAGCATTTGTTAATGTATCTTCTTGATCTAAACGTCACAGAATATTCGGATTTTTCAATTTCGTTTGCACATAAAATCTGATAAAAATAATTTCTCTAATCAACAGTTTGCAAGAAAATCGAGGTCAAAGTTGAAACTTCTTCCGTCTTTTGTGCAGTTGTGGGACTAGATTTTTTCATCAAAAACATTTCTGATATAAATTTTAATGGCCAATCAGAAAATACACTTATTTTAAGAAATAACATTTTCTGGTTCTGCAAAACAGATCAAAGTCGATTTTTAGTTAAACCGATCGCATTCTGTCACCTTAAGAGTTGAAGAGATTGAAAGTTATTATGAGTGCATAAAATTTGTTGGTTCATATCATGGATTAAACACTTTTTTCAATTTATCAACAGTTCTCTTGACCACTGGTCTTAAAACTTTAACCCTCAATATTTAGATGATAGTTGCACCTACAATCATTAGATTCTATCATAAGCTATAACATTGCATAATTGAATTCCCAAGAAAATCTGAGGTTATTAGATAATGCATATAAGTACTTCTTGCATTGAGTAACCATTTACTTTAATAAATCAAGAATGTATACTGACATAATATTTCAATGGTATAACTTTTTTTGGAGGTTATTGACTGATTTCGATATATTTAGCTGATGGTAAAATTTATACAAATAAAATGATAATGTTAAAAAATCTAGTCATACAACTGTTAAAGTTTCAACTTGGTCCTCGATTTCCTCAAAAACTGTCTATCAGAAAAAATTTAATAGCACTAATGGCTCAGTCTTTATGACATTAAATCCCACAAAATACTCTCTGATACTTTAACTCAAAAGGGAAATTTTTGCCTAAACTCCTTTTGCTGAAAACTTAATTTACTGTTCAATGCAATAAGATGTGAGATGCACAATTTTATAAAAATATTTTTAATTATCATTTGTAAGTAAAAGGTGATTTTATTAGACTAGAGTACATTATCCTGTTTAGACTGTCCATTTGACAATTTTGCACCAATTTCAACATTATTTGGACCAGTTAACATTTCAGTCTTTTTACTTTGAACAAATCTTATCCATAAACTAACGGCTAATGGATACATTATGATTGAGCCGACTGTAAGCATCACGGCTCCAGGTTGATGAGCAATCGTCGCGCTAAATACTGTAGTATATAAAAAGGTTGCTCCTAATCCAACAAAAGTTTCCAATGCCGTTGAAAGGGTAAAGATTTGAGCAGATTCTGCGGGCTCGACGGTAGAAACGATGAGACTTCTAATTGCAACACTAGACATTCGTCCACAGGAACCAATTATATATCCAGCAATGTAACCTCGAACAGACAAAAATATTCCTCTAATGACGAAAAATGCAGACAATGATAAACATCCAAATATAGCGATACTTGGATCAGAGAGGCCAATAAACTTGAGCAGTGATGGACCGATTGAAGTAGCAATGGTTGGTGGTATGTAACCTAGGGTCAATATTTTTGTATACGCATCTTCGGTCAACCCATAAACACGTTGAGCAAACTGGTAAGAGATGCCATCCTCTCCATTAAGTGATGCATTACAAACAGCTCCTGAAGTAATTAATAGTATCAATCGAAGTCGACCCTGGTTTGGCCTTTTAACTGAAAAAACTGACAAAAATTGTTTGGCTCTCGATAACTGGAAAACATCTTTAACAACTTGAGAGAAAGAAGCATCATCTTTCTCGGGATTTTTTTCAATGACAAAACAAGGTTTCAATAAGGTCACGTAAACTAATCCACAAAAGTTCAGTCCTAGACTAGTCAATAGAACACCAATATAATTCTTACGATGATTACCAATCCATGGATGCATCGCAAATATGGCCCCACTTGAGTAACTCGAACTAAGCATTCCTGTAAATCATACTTCGATTAGCACACAATCATATGCATTCAACTTTGATTGACTTACCAATTTTGACAATAAACTCAATGACAGCAAATCTTATAATCACAAGGTGACTTGGAGTTCCCCACGAAATGGAAGTATAAAGACAACTGAATAGCAAAAATATGCCACCACACATTGAATACGGAATATACGACAATAAAATAGCCCACCAAGCTAGTCAATGAAAGATGTTATTCAATGAATTTCAAGTAACTCAAATGGTAAATGATGTATTGAAATGTAACTTACGAGCTTTAAAGACGAAGAGATTTACTATTAATAATGAAACTTGACAAATGCCACCAAAAAAGACTGACATGAGCATGAGTTTGAAATACTTTGGATAATTTCCCAGCCAATATCCGATGAAAATGGACAAAAGTAAACATGGCGTATTGATGATCACGAATTGCCAGTTCTTAAATGTATTGGCAATTCGAAGTATTTCTTGGGTTTCCACTGAATCAGGATAAGATGTGAAATCTGCACAAAAACTTTCGTTCAATTTAAGATGATTGTTACAAACTTTATCCTCTACCAATGTGGTTACAGCCATCGATTGTATGATATAACCCATACCACCGAATAGGATGCAAAAGTCAAATTTCATTAAGTTTAAATACGAAAAGAAAGCTTTGGTATTCATTTTCACTTTTCACTTTTTGATTAACTACTAATTGAAATAAATAACTAGTAGAACCGAATGAACAGTTGATCAATTTGAGAACATATTTATTCTGATTCTGTTTTTATACACCATTCAAAACAATCTTATAGCCAACTATCAATGCTGAATCAATCCGGGATTAAACGATGGATTATGGATAATCATTTGTTATTTTTGTACTCGCTAAATGGTTTAATGTAAAGTGCTCATGTTACAGTGCTTTTCGACTTAATAATTTGACAAACTCGACATAATAAGTTTCAGCTAACTCTTTCAGTCACAGAATGCGATCCGTCTAACTGACAATTAATTTTGATCTGTTTTACAGAAAACAGAAAGTGTTTCAAGCTTTACATCAGGAAAGTAAGTTTCATGAACAAAAATCTGCTTTGACTTTCGATCTTCTCGAAAACTGAGAAATGTATAACACCAATGGACTCAGTTTTAATGCCATACAAACACTCAAAGTCCCAACTCTAAACTTGAAAGTTTCATTTCTTGACAATTCTTCTTTCACTTCATCAATCATTCCATGCTATTTCATTGATGGAGAAAGTTTACCAAAACGACAATTATAGCCAATGATAAGGTAAACATTGAAGCAACAAACTTGATATTGATTGTGAATAGATTGGCAAAGGTAAAGCCGATATCGGTAAACAAGACTTGACCAATGAAAAGTGTATTCTGAAAAAAAGGATAAAACGGTAAACCAGGATTGATCATTTCTCAACACAAACTTACTTCAAATTTCATCTCTGAAGAAGTGGCCTTAAATGTAAGCGCATAAAGACTCCTTAAACCCTTCCGAGATTTTTGAGGACGATATTTTTGGTCAATCGTTTGCGAAAGATTAATTTAGAAGTGTGAAAATATCTGTCCATTGCTATTTCCTTTAAATTGTCGCATTAAACTTGAAACATTTTCTTGTTCAACATCAACAGTACAATGATCATATGCATCAGCATCAAGCTTGAATAAATGTAGACTTGGGAACATCGGTAAATCTCACGTTTAGAGGTAAGGTTTGTACATTCAGAGTAAAATAATATCCTCTTGATGATTATGAATAAAGGGCAAAAGACTCTTGTAATGAAAAGAAAGGATTTTACCCAAAACCCAAATTTGGGTACAAGTTTTAGGTTTGAATTTGACTGTTCACTATCCATGCTGTAAGTTATTGAATTTGATTGCTCTTGGCTTTGGTATTTTCACCAAATGATTTGTGACTTTTCCTGAGAGAAGAGGTTTGATTAAAGAGCCAAATTGGTGGAAAAGGTAAATATCAAATTAATTATGTCTGTCGTCTAACGTCAGTCATCATCGATTTATGGCCGAAATTCAATTTCAATATTATTTTTTGCCAATTTCAATTGTTCTCATTACAATAATTCAAATTGTTCAATTGAATAAAGGAGTTCAACAATTTTCTTTGCTATTTTTTCGCCTTCAACAGCTAAAAGCAAACCATAACTGAAAATGATTTTTCATTTTGTTAGGTTTCTTTTGTCGTAAAAATTTTGTCATCAATCATGTTTTTTTTTCACCAAATTTTCACTAAAAAGATGACTCTTCTCAGGTTTTTCATTTACATGAGTTTTCAGCCAGTTTTTGGGTTGATCATCAACATCAACTGGAAGCGGGTTCTCGGTGGATATAACATTAAAGATAACATTACCTTATAGAGAGGAGACGAAAAGTGAAAGGACACGAATTTTGATGCTCATAACATATCACTTTTCTCGTTCAAATGCTAGTTCATTTTGATAATCCTGAAATGTTGAATGGCCATGAAAATTTATGAAGAAAATAATAATAGCAACTAATCCATTGAAGGTGATATGGAAATCATCTGATTGAGTTTAACTCATGATTATGTGTATAGCTTTCATTTGCTTTCTTAATCAACAATGAGCTTACCAGGGATTTTTATTTTCTAGTCAATATTTTCCATCATAGAGCTTGGATTTCATGTAAATGTTGTCTTTCTTTGTCCTTATCAATCTCAATTGATGCGATGATAAAAAGCCTAAATCTTCATCAGTGTTTGCTAATAATTGTTATTGAAAATCTACATTGAAAATGTATTGATCTAAATTTAGTTTAGCTGCAGGAATTAAAACGTTGATAAAATGTATAATGTTCATTGTCGCACTAAGAAACTTGAACATTTTATCACGATTAACAGTAAATCCAAAAGTCTAAACACCATAGTACTGAATGATTGTTTATCTGAAGCTTACAGCATAAGTTGAAAATGAAGGTTCAAACCTTTGATCGACATTGAACTCAACTCCAAGCTATTGGTTATTATGGTTATTATTAGTTATTTGCTTCTAAAGATCTCACTTATGGGCTCGATGAACTTCACCGACTATGGGAACTACTTCTTTCCAAGTTCGCTGAAAAAGGAGTAAAACTTCAACAAGCTCTAGTGCTTCAGCAATTCAATCGACAATGTTATGAAGTTATGTTCTGGATCAATGATAAAGAAGCATTTGTTACCTCTAATGAGATAAGCATTCAGAAATTGTATCTAATTGGGAAAAGCTGAGAGCTAAAGCTGGTGAAAGAAAACGACGTCTCGACAAAAGTCACCTTCTCCATCAATTCTTGGCCGATTTCCGTGATCTAACGTCTTGGATCAATGATATGAAAGCAATTATCAATGCTGATGAAATTGCTAAAGATGTTGCTGGAGCTGAAGCTCTTCTTGAGCGTCACCAAGAACTTGAAGGAGAGATCGATGCTCGAATGGATAGCTTCGATGAAGTTCGTGAAAAATTTATTATGGATGGATTTGCAGTTACATTTGTATTTTATCGTAACACTGAACAAGCAGACACTTGGATGGCTAAACAGGAAGCTTTTCTTACTAATGAAGATTCCGGGTACTCTCTTGACTCTGAAGCTTTGATCAAGAAACACGAAAACTTTGAAAAATCATTGGCAGCTCAAGAGGAAAAGATGAAAGCTTTAGATGAATTTATTACAAAATTATTAACCATTGAAGTCGTTGAATTTTTCAACTCATTTTTGAGCGACATCTAACGATAAGTTATTCATCTAAACGTAACTTGCACGTGTTTTTGTTTTGAAAAATCAATGTCAATTTTGTGTTTAATTTTTACTTGTTTAAATCACATTGCCATTCCATTTGAGCGTTTCTTTTGATTATTTACTTTTTTACAATAGTTGAAAAATATATTAATTGTCAAGGTGAGTTGCTTTTGTTTTTATGCTTATTCATACTTATATCTCAATTCATTTATGTTTTTTTCTAGATGTCTGCTGGATGGTCTGATGTGTTGAACCGATTGATTAACAGTGGTGGCAAAACAAAGAAAAAGCCTTTGAGTCGAGCTCTAATTGTTAAAGAAGCCAAAGAGCCTAGAAAAATAGTGAAAAAGATAGCAGAATTTGACTCAAAAAGAGTAAAACCTTCTCTGCAAGATAGAGAATATGAAAGAATGCTTCAATCTATTGCAACTAAAGGTGTTGTTCAATTATTTAATACTCTGACCGAATTAGAAGAAGACGAACCTCCAGTTAAACAATCCAAAATGAGTGATCCTGGTCCAAGTACATCAGTCTTAGATAAGTGGGGTGATCTAACTGTGGAAGATGATGAAGAAGATGATGCCATTTAACCCATTCTAATTTAATTTATTAAATATCATGGACACCGTTAATTACTATTTCCAACTCAACATTTTTGTTAACTTTGAATTAAAATCTCGTGTTGAACTCACCATTGGCGCTTATTTGACCGTGTAAACAACTCATCTTAATTTTGAAGTTCGATGACCACAAAATATCTTTCAATTTCAAGAATAGGAAATAAGAAAAGTCTAATAGTGCTGAAAATGATGAACAATTTAATAAACACAGTGTTCATGTCATTGGAAATTTTTGATCAACATGGTTGAATATAAAAATATGAATTCAAAATACATTAGAAAATGAAGGTTACCGAAGATTCATTAAAACCATAATACAATAATACACAAACATTTCAAATAAAGTCCATAGACTTTCAAAAGAAATCAAAAAGCATGAATCTCATGCATATCTAGAAGCTTCTTGGATGAAATTTGACAGTTAAGTCCGATTTCTTTGATAGATATTACCAGATGTGAGTAAAAATGATCAACCAACAAGGTTCACGTTATCACAGATTTGACCAGGTCTATTGATTTAAAAATTTGACGTTGATATGAGATGAAATATCCATGAATCCATACTATATTTACAATTCAGTATTGAGTGAAATTTAATTGAATAGGAAAATATAAGACCAAGATGATGAAGGCAATCAAGGAGCCAACAACGAAGTCAACACCTGTGTTGGACTGATTCCACCCAATATTAACTGCATCAGTTTTTGGAAAACGAAACCAAAAAAAGCATCAATCAGATAGTTCACTATCTTTTTCACAGACAACCTTTTCTGTACAAATTGAATCAACTGTTGTGGTGTTCGTATCCTGGTCTCTTCCCTAAGAATTGGAATCAAAGGATGGTCAATATTTTTGTCACAGAAGAGTCGTATTGAAGTTGTTGTGTTGACTTCAGGATGGTTGCAGGTTAATGTCCGGCAATAATAGTCTTTAACTTTTTCAGCTTCTTCCGAGCAAACCAATTCCGTTGCATTTTCACTGGATAAAACAAATTTAACACATAAAGTCAAGACAAGTGAAACGATTAAACGATTAGACATTTTGTTTGAGATCAAATGAAAGTACAATGAGAACCAGAAGAGAAGCGCTGTTACTTATAACAAGAAGGGTTACTTTATATACAATTTATAACCAATAAGATTGGGTTGAGTTGGAAGGTTAATTTCCAATAAGAATTGCTTTAGAAAATTTGAGCAAAAAAATTGAGCAAATCTCTTTAGTAATATTCAAAAGGGCAAATTAATATTAAGCTACATTTTAATTCTTGAAAAAAACGAATTGATTGTCTAGCATCTAAAAAGTTCTCAAACAAGATACTTTTTATTAGTTAGTAGTTACACCAGAAAAATATGTTTGCTGAAAAAATCCGATATAAAAAACGATCGAAGTGCGAACATTGAACATTATTTTAACCGAAACTGATGATCAGAAATTTTTTGAACGCATTTAAACAGGACACGACAAACCTAAAAGTAGCTTAAAATTAATTTTTCCTTTTGGGTATTTACTGAAAATAATCATTTGCTCAATTCAACCTAAATCAAAGAAATTTCTCAAGTCCAGAAAAGTAACTTCTTTGCTGAACTCTTCACAAGCCTTGTGAGTAGCGACGTCTATGTATATTTACACGTGTTTTTGTTTTGAAAAATCAGTGTCAGTTTTGTGCTTAATTTCACCTGTTAAATTACACTGTCATCCCATTTGAGGGTTTCTTTGGATTATTTAACTTTTTAAGGTGAGTTGCTCATGTTTATGATTGTTTATATTTGGATTAATTTGTTTTTTTTCTAGATGTCTTCTGGTTGGTCTGATGTGTTGAACCGATTAATAAACCAAAAGAAAAAGCCTTTGACTCGAGCTCTAATTGAAGTCGGAGGAAAAGAAGATCGGAAAACAGTGACAACATCGAAAAAGATCTCTGAATTTGACTCAAAAAGGGTAAAATCTTCCCTGCAAGACAGAGAATATGAAAGAAAGATGCAAACCATTGCTACCAAAGGTGTTGTACAACTATTTAATGTCTTAGAATAAAATTCTGTTCAAGAAACCATCTCGTATTATTCATTTTTATCCGTTTTTTCCTTTTGAAACGATATGCTTAAATGTGGAAGATAGAGAGAGAAAAGGAAATGTCGGAATATCGTGACTTCTTCATGAATCATGAAATTTATAATGAAAATGATGAAAAACTGTATTGTTCAATTGATAGGAACGCCGTCTTTCGGTTTGTTTTCATTTTAGGTGAAGGACAAGAAAAGGGCGTAGTCAATGTAAAACCAATACATTGAGATGTTAGTTTGATATCATTTAATTCATAGTACATAGACTGTGTTTTTAAACAGTCATCTCTTTTTATTTCATGTGTTTTGTTGATATTAATCAAATTAAAAGTGTAAAGTAAGTTATTTTTTAACCGTAATTAATATTGCTTTCTATCTTGATGCTTTTGGATTGTTTTCATGTTTATAATTCATGTTTTTAATTGTTTTTGTTTTTAGGTTTCAACTGTTCTAGTTTTTCTCTGTCACCCTGCCTAGCCTTTTTTCTGGGTTTGGTATTGCATTTGTCTTCATCCTTTCATCATTAAATCATCATTGTTTACTATCCAGCTTAAGAACTAGGACAATCTTAAATACACCATGGATACCTCTACATCTAGTGTTACTACCAAAGAAATCAAAATATTGGAAACTGTTGAAGATATTCAGGAGAGAAGAGACCAAGTTCTTGGAAGATATCAAAGATTCAAGGAAGAAGCTAAAGAAAAGAGAAGTTTATTAGAAGATTCAAAGAGATTTCAATATTTCAAAAGAGATGCAGATGAACTTGAATCGTGGATATTGGAAAAACTACAAACTGCTTCAGATGAATCGTATAAAGATCCAACAAATTTACAAGCTAAAATTCAAAAACATCAAGCATTTGAGGCTGAAGTGACTGCTCATTCCGATGCTATTGTATCTCTCAGTGCTACCGGTGGTGAAATGATTAACCAGGGACATTTTGCTGCTGAAGTGATCACTCATCGTCTGGATGAACTTCACCGACTATGGGAACTACTTCTTTCCAAGTTAACTGAAAAAGGACTAAAACTTCAACAAGCTCTTGTGCTTCAGCAATTCAATCGACAATGTGATGAAGTTATGTTCTGGATCAATGATAAAGAAGCATTTGTTACCTCTGATGAGATGGGACAAGACTTGGAACATGTTGAGGTGCTCCAAAGGAAATTTGATGAATTTCAAAAAGAAATGGCAAGCCAGGAATTTCGAGTGCAAGAAGTTACAAAGCAAGCAGATAAACTGGTTGGTGAAAACCATCCTGACCACGAAATTATCATTAGGCGTCGAACCGAAGTCGAAGAAGCTTGGAAACGTTTGAAATACTTGACGTCAGTTCGTCAACAAAAACTTGCCGGTGCACAAGAGATTCAAATATTCAACAGAGATGCTGATGAAACTATTTCCTGGATTCTTGAAAAAGATCTAGTTATATCTTCTGATGACTATGGTAGAGATTTAGTAAGTGTTCAAGCTTTACAAAGAAAACACGAAGGTATTGAAAGAGACCTTGCAGCTTTGGAAGACAAGGTTCTCATTTTAGGTCAAGAAGCACATCGATTATGTGAACTTCATCCTGATCATAAAGACAAAATTCAAGCTAAGCATTCAGAAATTGTATCTAATTGGGAAAAGCTGAGAGCTAAAGCTGGTGAAAGAAAACGACGTCTCGACGAAAGTCACCTTCTTCATCAATTCTTGGCCGATTTCCGTGATCTAACTTCTTGGATCAATGATATGAAAGCAATTATCAATGCTGATGAACTTGCTAAAGATGTTGCTGGAGCTGAAGCTCTTCTTGAGCGTCACCAAGAACATAAAGGAGAGATCGATGCTCGAATGGATAGCTTCAATGCAGCTGATGATGCTGGTAAAATCCTTCTTGATCAAGGTATAGCTACTGATGAAGTTCGTGATAAATTGATTACTCTCTCTAATGAGAAGAACTCTCTTCTTGAATTATGGGAAAATAAGCGCATTTTGTATGAACAATGTATGGATTTGCAGCTATTTTATCGTGACACTGAACAAGCAGACACTTGGATGGCTAAACAGGAAGCTTTTCTTGCTAATGAAGATCTAGGTGATTCTCTTGATTCTGTTGAAGCTTTGATCAAGAAACACGAAGACTTTGAAAAATCATTGGCAGCTCAAGAGGAAAAGATAAAAGCTTTAGATGAATTTGCTACAAAAGTAATCGAAGGTCAACATTATGCTGCTGAAGATGTTGCACATAGACGTGCAACTCTTCTTGAGAGACGTAATGCTCTCATCGAAAGATCTGAAGCTCGACGTTCACTGTTGAACGATTCATATAAACTTCAACAATTTGAACGTGACTATGATGAAACTAAAGGCTGGATAATGGAAAAATTGAAAACTGCCTCTGATGAGAGCTATCTAGACTCAACTAATTTAACAGGCAAGCTCCAAAAACATGAAACATTTAGGCAAGAATTAACTGCCAATGAACCAAGAATTAGTGAACTCAACACAAGTGCACAAACCCTAATCCAAAGTAATCATTATGCTGCTCCTAGAATCAGTGAAAGAGCCCAAGAAATCGGTGAATTATGGGCTAATCTTGTTGAAGCAACTGAACGAAAAGGCAGCAAACTTACTGAGGCAGCTGACCAACAATTATTTAACCATGGGGTTGAAGATGTTGAGCTTTGGTTAAATGAGGTTGAGGGACAACTTATGTCTGAAGATTATGGTAAAGATTTAACTTCCGTCCAAAATTTAATCAAGAAACATGCTCTACTTGAATCAGATGTTGCCTCACACCAAGAAAAAATTAATGATGTTATCGCCCAAGCTGATGAATTCATCGTTAATGGTCACTTTGATGCAGACAACATTAAAACTAAGCGTGACAATGTTGTTGAAAAGTATCGTTCATTAAAAAAACCCATGATAAATCGACGTAATCGATTGAAGGATGCTCTTCGTTTACAAAAACTTTTCCGTGATGTTGAAGATGAAGAAGCCTGGATAAGAGAGAAAGAACCAATTGCTGCATCAACCAATCGTGGTCGTGACTTGATTGGTGTTCAAAATTTAATTAAGAAACATCAAGCTGTCATGAATGAAATCAACAACCATGAACACCGTATCCGAACCGTTTGCTCTAACGGAGAAGAAATGGTTAATGAAGGTCATTTTGCATCCGATGAGATACAAAAAAGACTCTTCTCGTTAAATGATAAATGGCAAAGTTTAAAAGAAAAAGCAAACAAGAGAAACCAAGATTTAGATGATTCTCTTCAAGCACATCAGTACTTTGCGGATGCAAATGAAGCAGAATCATGGATGAAAGAGAAAGAACCTATTGTTGGTAGTCAAGATACTGGTAAAGATGAAGATTCAACTGAAGCTCTTCTCAAAAAACATGAAGCACTCATGGCAGACCTTGAAGCCTTTAGAAATACGATATCATCCCTACGTGATCAAGCAGCTGCTTGTAAACAACAGGAAACTCCAATTGTTGATCAAACTGGAAAGGAATGTGTTATGGCTCTTTATGATTACACGGAAAAATCACCTAGAGAAGTTTCAATGAAAAAAGGAGATGTTCTTACTTTACTTAATTCCAATAATAAAGACTGGTGGAAAGTAGAAGTCAATGATAGGCAAGGTTTTGTTCCTGCAGCCTATGTTAAAAAAATTGAAGCCGGTCTCTCTGCTAGTCAACAGCATCTTGCTGAACAAAATTCAATTTCAGCTCGAGCAGCTCAAATTGATAAACAATATGAAAATCTATTGGAGCTTGGACATGATCGAGCAGATCGCCTTCAAGAATCCTGTAAAGCTTATCAAGTAGTCAGAGAAGCTACAGAATTGGCTCAATGGATCCGTGACAAAGAGCAACACGCCCAAGTTCAAACTGTGGGTGATGATTTGGAGGAGGTTGAAATTCATCAGAAAAAGTTTGATGATTTCCAGTCTGAATTAAAATCCAATGAAGCTCGTCTTAGAGAAATGAATGAAGTGGCAACCAAGCTTGCTAACCTTGGTCAAACTGAAGCTGCTGTCAAAATAAATCAACAAATTGATGAGTTGAACACTAAATGGGTTAATCTTCAACAAGCTGCTGAAAAAAGAGCAGAGCAACTTGGATCAGCCCATGAAGTTCAACGATTCCATCGTGACATTGAAGAAACCAAAGATTGGATTCGCGAAAAAGATGAAGCACTAAACAATAATGATTATGGTAAGGATTTAAGATCCGTTCAAACTTTACAAAGAAAGCACGAAGGTTTGGAAAGAGATCTCGCTGCTTTGGGTGACAAGATTAGATCACTCGATGAAATTGCCCAAAGATTGATGAAAACTCATCCAGAAACTGCCGAGCAAACTTATCAAAAGCAAATTGAAATAAATCAAGAATGGGACCAATTAATTGCTAAGGCTACTGCTCGTCGTGAGAAACTTGACGATTCCTATGAACTTCAACGATTCTTGGCTGACTATCGTGACCTCATGTCATGGATAGTTTCAATGAAAGCTCTAGTCTCTTCTGATGAACTTGCAAATGATGTTACCGGTGCCGAGGCTCTTCTTGAAAGACATCAGGTAAGCTTTTTTCTGAATTTTAAATCTGGATAATTAATCTTCCATTATCAACGTACATAAATAACTCTTAAAGTTTCATGTCTCATGAATTTACAAAATTTACAATTCACAGGAACATGAGTCAGTCTTTTTAGTATACAGACTTCATTCTTAAATTGCCACTCCCTGTTCCTACTCAACTTGTGATTTGCAATTATGAAGTTATCTTTCTATAGTTCAGCCTTCAATAACTCATAAAATTTTAAATAGCATTGGTAATCAAATTAAATTATGATATGCTCAGCTAACACTAGAACAAATTATTAAATCAATTTATAAATTTTCAAATATTGACCTAAAAATATTTGCTTGTTTTTTTGCTCTTTATCATTAGCAATAGTCTGAATGAAGACCTAAATAGGCACAACTTTGAATTTTTGTCTGTTTTGTTCATTTTCTCTAAATATCATTGTATTGTTATTTTTCACTAGGAACATCGAACTGAAATCGATGCTCGAGCTTCAACTTTCCAGACATTTGAAATGTTTGGACACCACCTATTGGAAAGGGGTCATTATGCCTCTGATGAGATCGCTGATAAAATCAGAGAAATCGCCCAAGCAAGAGAAGATCTCGAAAAGGCTTGGATTGCTAGACGAGTCAGACTTGATCAATGTTTGGAACTTCAATTATTCTATCGTGACTGTGAACAAGCTGAAAATTGGATGGCTTCTCGAGAAGCTTTCCTTGCCTCCGATGATATGGGAGGAGATAATGTTGAAGTTCTGATCAAGAAGCATGAAGACTTTGATAAAGCAATCAGTGCACAAGAGGAAAAGATTGCCCAATTAACATCATTAGCTGACCAATTGATTGCTCATGATCATTATGCATCACAACCAATCAAGGATAAAAAAGATCAAGTCTTGGATAGATGGCAAAATCTTAAAGAAGCATTGATCGAGAAACGTTCTAAGCTTGGTGAATCACAGACTTTACAACAATTTTCACGAGATGCTGATGAAATTGAGAACTGGATTTCAGAAAAATTGCAAATGGCTCAAGATGAGAGCTATAAAGATCCAGCTAACATTCAGTCTAAACATCAAAAACATCAAGCATTTGAAGCAGAACTTAATGCTAATAAAGACAGAATTACATCAATCATTGGCATGGGTGAAAAGTTGATTGATCAACATCAATGTGCTGGATCTGAAGATGCTGTTCAAAATAGGTTAACCTCAATTAGAGAGCAATGGCAACACCTAACAACCAAGACAACCGAGAAATCATTGAAACTTAAGGATGCTAACAAACAGAGAACCTTCAATGCTGCTGTGAAAGATTTAGATTTCTGGTTAGATGAGATCGAAGGTTTATTGAAAACTGAAGATGCTGGTAAAGATTTGACTTCAGTTGAAAATCTTATTAAAAAACATGATCTTCTAGAAGTCGATATTGCCGCTCGTGATGACCGAATTAAAGATCTTGATCATTTAGCTGACAGTCTTATTGAATCAGGACAATTTGATCCAGCAGTTATTCAAGAGAAACGATCCTCAATTAAAGAGAGATATGACCGAATAAAGGCTTTAACCGAACATCGTCGACAACGATTGAATGAAGCAAACACTTTGCAACACTTCTTCAGAGATATTTCAGATGAAGAATCATGGATAAAGGATAAAAAGTTGCTGATCAGTTCAGGTGATTTTGGCCGAGATTTGACTGGAGTTCTTAATCTTCGCAAGAAACATCGACGCTTCGAGACTGAGCTTGCTACTCACGAGCCTTCTATCCAAGCTGTCCAAGATGCTGGTCAAAAACTTATGAATGAATCTAATTTGGGAATTCAAGAGATTGAATCCAGACTTCAAGCTTTGGAAAACAATTGGCAAGAATTGAAAAAATTATCTGGTGTTCGAGGAAATAAACTTGAAGAAAGTCTCGTTTTCCAACAGTTCTTAGCTAAAGTTGAAGAGGAAGAAGCTTGGATTTCTGAGAAACAGAAGCTTATTGCTGTTGAAGATTACGGTGATACTATGGCAGGTGTACAAGGATTAATTAAAAAACACGATGCATTTGAAGCAGATTTTACTGTTCATCGAGAAAGATGTGCTGACATTATATCTGCTGGACAACAACTGATTGCTGAAGGTAACCACCATTCAGATACTATTGACCAACGATTGAAAGCACTGCAATCGCGTTTAGATTATCTGCAAGAAAGTGCCCGTAAAAGAGCTGGTAAATTGAATGACAATTCAGCTTACCTTGAATTTATGTGGAAGGCTGATGTTGTTGAAAATTGGATTACTGATAAAGAAGTTCAAGTGAGCAGTAAAGATTATGGACGTGATCTTTCATCCGTTCAAACCTTGTTGACTAAACAAGAAGCCTTTGATACTGGATTGGTTGCTTTTGAGCAAGAAGGTATTCTTTCAATTACTCAATTAAAAGACCAACTGATAGCCAATAATCATGTTCAAAGTGAGGCTATCTTGAAGCGTCATGGAGATGTAATGAACCGTTGGAATGAACTTTTGGCTGCCTCTCAAGCAAGAAAGCAAAAACTTCTTCATATGCAAGAACAGTTTAAGATGATTGAAGATTCATTCCTTACCTTTGCTAAGAAAGCTTCTGCATTCAACTCTTGGTTTGAAAATGCTGAAGAAGATCTTACAGACCCTGTTAGGTGTAATTCAATTGAAGAGATTCGAGCTTTAAGGGAAGCTCATCAACAATTCCAAGCTTCTTTAACATCAGCTCAAACTGATTTCCAACAACTTGCTGAGCTTGATAGTCAAATTAAATCTTTCAACGTTGGTTCCAATCCTTATACTTGGTTCACTATGGAAGCACTTGAGGATACATGGAGAAATCTGGAAAAGATTATCCAAGATCGAGATGCTGAGCTTCACAAGGAATCTCTTCGCCAAGAAGAGAATGACCGTTTGAGAAAGGAGTTTGCTAAACACGCCAATAATTTCCACCAGTGGCTCGCAGATACAAGGTAAATATTTAAAATTACTTGTTTAAATCAATTTATTTACCTTTTATATTTAAATTTTCAACATTTTTCTAATTCTCATTTTTTTCGTTGTTAATTTTTTAATTCAGAATGTGGCTACTTGACGGTTCAGCAATGAGAGAAGGAACAGGATCTCTTGAAGCTCAACTAGAAGCAACTCGAAGCAAGGCAACCGATATCAAGCTGAAGAGGGATGACTTGAGACAGATCGAAAAATTGGGAGCAACACTTGAAGAGCATCTTATTTTGGACAATAGGTACACTGAACACAGTACTGTTGGATTGGCCCAACAATGGGATCAACTGGATCAACTTTGTATGAGAATGCAACACAACTTGGAGCAACAAATTCAAGCAAGAAACCAATCAGGTGTCTCTGAAGAATCTCTCCGTGAGTTCAGTATGATGTTCAAACACTTTGACAAAGATAAGACTGGTAAACTTAACCACCAAGACTTTAAAAATTGTTTACGAGCTCTTGGTTATGACCTAAAGATGGTTGAAGAAGGTGAATACAATCCTGAATTTGAAGAAATCTTGAACCAAGTTGACCCCAATAGAGATGGATTTGTTACTTTACAAGAATATATGGCATTTATGATCTCTCGTGAAACTGAAAACGTTTCCAATCGTGAAGACTTTGAAAATGCCTTCCGAGCTATTGCAGAGGAAAAGCCTTATGTTACCCCTGAAGAGTTGTATTCTGTAAGTTTATTTTTTTCTTATGTTCTAATTGGTTTCATTTCTAAATCATTTTTTCCTTTTCTTTTCTTTTCTCCTTACAGAATCTCACCAAAGATATGGCAGATTATTGTTTACGTCGTATGAAACGATATGTTGACCCGAAATCTGGACGAGAAATTACTAATGCTTATGACTACGTTGATCTTACGCAAACTTTATTCCAGAATTAGTATTTCTGCTTACCTTTTTTGCGCTTCTTTATCTCATTGAAAAAAAGCTCTCTTTCTCATAAAAAATTATGTAAACACACAAAAAATCACTTTTTCCTTCTCTTCTCTTCTCTATTCTTTATAAGAGATTTACCCTCCAACGCCACAGCCATTGACTATTAATTCTATTATAATTCTAATTATTGACATGATTATTATTTACATCAAATATATTTACGCTAAAACCAAATCTGTTCATTGTTTTCATTTCACGATTTGAACATTAGATTATGATCATGTAACAGGTTGAATATTTTTCCTCGGCATATTGAGCTTCACACATCCCCAAGAACTTCTCAAGAACGAGTTTGGACAAATGGAGACAGCTTCTGTCTTTTCTAGCAAATCCGAGGCCATTTTACGAAACCATTTAAAATAAAGGAAACATTAGCTCTGAGTATTTCACTTTTTACTCATAGAGTGACGCATCGCTTTCGACCTTAGCATGTTTGGTTCACGAAATTAAATCTACATTTGGTATTTAATTAATCAGAAAAGTTCAATCTTTTATTTTCTAATTTGATTCATTTTAAAATCCTTGTTAAAAACGTTGTTTTCACAATTACATTCATTCCCAGTATTTCTTAGAGATCCTTATATTTAATGCAAATCCTATCACAAAAGTAGATGAGCCTGCATCCAAAAGATGATGATCATCACATAATCACACAAAGCTTATATCGATGCAAGCTTAGTGAAGTTAATTTTTATGATTGTAATAAAAAGAGTTGAGCGGAAATTTTTGAGTATAAAATTTAATTCAGAATAATTCTGCATTCATCAATTCTTCGAGCTTTAGCCTGTTTTTTCTTGTTATCAATGAAAGTTACAATGAAGTGATGGTTTTCAGTTAATTTTGGGAACAATGAAAGAGTTTTTTGATCAATTTCAAGAACTGTCCATTGTCCTGACATCACAAACTCTGTAGTCAATGGAATGCCAAATAAAAGGAGATATTTCATGGTTCTGATGAATTTTTCCGTTTCTGCCATTAATTTCGAATAATCCATTTCCTCCAGAAAAGCTGGACAACTAATTTTAGGACAACGTTGTTCAAACAAATCGTAATCTTTAGATTCTACTTCGAAACCTCTTTTTAGGTCATTACAGACAGATTTACACAAACCGTTTTCGCCGAATCGTTGGTATGCAACAAGTATCTTGGCTTGTTCCAAGGTCAGTTTGCGAGGGTAAAAATCAACTGAAAGAGGATCAACTCTGATAGATTTAATAATGTTTGATGTAACATTATCCAAGTCTTTCTCTATTAATGTCAACATGACGACGTCTGTCTTATCAAATGAAGATTTCGATGAACCACAACATTTTTCCAGTTCCATACTCACATTTTTGGTTAATTCGGTGTTTTCATGATACAAACTTGCTTCACTTGGAAAAGTGCGAATCACCACATCCTCTTCCACAAGGGCCGAGCCAACTACATGTGCAATTCTAAGAGGCTTGAAAAAATCCGGTGTAATGGCCGCTAAATGGGAACAAGTTCACATCTTTTATTGTTTAAAAGTATCTAGAAGGTTAATGTCACATTACTTGTGTACATCAAAGCAATGGCATCTTTGAAGTCACTCAACTGATCTCTTTTCAGCATTTTCATGAAAAGTTAACGGAAGCCGAGATTGAACTGACAATTGTGATTGTGAGACAGTCTTTAGTCTTATTTCTTTATGTTATGAGTTTTGTTACTTACAAGTTGTAACATTAACCTCATGGATACAGAATTAACTACTGTAACTTTATTGATAACATTTTCCATTTTTTCAAACTTGAGGCTGATTCGGCTCAAGGTGTAAGGTTATTTGGATGGAATATTTAAATATCAGATAGACTTACCATAATCCACACTGAAAATTCGAAATTTATTCTCATCAGAACCAGGTTTTATCGTCTTTATGACCATCAACGAAGAAAATGGAAACAATAGAAAAAAACAAAACAAAATTTGAAAATCCATTGAATTTGATTGAATTAGGGATTGAATAAGAGCTGAATAGTCAACTAATGCTTACTTGCTATTAGCTCATGTATATAAAATGAAAATTTAACATTTATTTTCCGATATTTCCTTCTTTTTGCATTGAGTGTTTCAATGGAAACAAATAACCGGTCAAGTTACTTGTAACTTATCACCAGATCCTCTCGATTATCAGATTATTTCCCAAAAACCATTTTGGGATTAGATATTATAAGACTTTTGTGTGTTGGCATTTTATCCGAAACTGAGTTCAACAAACTTATTTTGTTTATTTGTTTTTTGTTTCAAACTCTGTAACTTGAAATCGTAAGTGCCAATGGAGTCAAAATTTTGTTTTATTCAATTTATCGTTTTGTCTTTTGTTCATTTAATATCAAGTCAATGTGAAAATAATATGGATGAACCTGGTACATCACATGTCAATTATTATATGAATATCAAAACCTTTGTTGACTTACAATCTATGAATCGTGAAGACACAGTGCAAGACCAACCATGGGGACTATGGAGGAATGATAGTATCTTTCAAGATCCAGGCTGTCCATTGTGTAAAGTGCGATTCGATTCCAATGACAATATTTATCTCTATTTATTCAAGAATAAAACAAGCACTTTGCATGGACCAATAAGGATCGATTCGAAACACATTGACCTAGACATTAAATTTAATCTAACCAAAGAGGCCAGAGCTAAGTACTCAGACAACATTTTTTACATGGAGTTTGAACTCAACCTTATACAAGCTGCTCGTTGTCTTTTGATGAATGCGGCTTATAAACTCAATGAGGATGTCGTTCGAATACCGAAATTGAATATAAATCTTGAGCTGGATCCTGAAACTGCTTCACTTTTCCCAGCAGTCGAAAAAGATGATTACTTCATAATCAATATTGTAAATTTTGTCGATAGAATCAAAACTAACCCTGAGAAAACTACAAAGTTAGATAGTCCAGCTGTCGGGATTGTTTTTCAGTACCCAGGTCCAATCAACTGGGTTGTGGCCTCCCATTTAATTTTAAATTATACAATTGTATCACCAACACACAACGAAGTTTAAAATAAAATTAAAATACGATTAGTTACATTAAAGATAGTTCTAATAGATCAATATACCTTCTAATTTTATTTAAACAGAGTGGCTCAATTTTCAGCCAAACCGATCGCATTCTGTGATTGTATAAGTTAGCGGAAACTTATTGCCGATAAAAATTGTTAGTTCACATCATGGATTGAATACTTGCAACAATTTATCAACAGTTTTCTTCATTTTGATCATTGGATTTAAAACTTTGAACCTCGATATTTTGAGAATGGCATCACCTACAACCATCATTCTTTCACAAAACATAATATTTCATTATGGGCTATTTCAATAAATGACTGAATACCGAATAAAATCCCAGGCTAATTCAATAATTAAAACCCTTCTAACGCATAAGATTCATCGTCTTCACATACATTATTGTCGTACTACAATAAATAGTATTATAAATGGTCTACAATATCTTTAACTATACTTTAACCAACTCAAAGTATTTACGCTTGTTGTTTCACTTTTACTTGGGCTGGCTTTAGGTCTGATTTTTGATTTACTCAGCTGCTTGATAATATCAGGTAAATATGCACAGCAGCACCAATTTGGATTACTTTCCAAATTATTCTTTGATCCTTTTTTGCCTTTTGAATTCTGGTTATTTCGTTGAAATTAGTAGAATTAGTAACATAATTTGATTTAACCGATTAGTGGAAAAAACTTACCTCATGAATCCAGAAGTTCTAGAGGATTGGATAACGTAAGTTAGACATGGAAGAAACATTATTGCTAAGAATAGAAGGATAAGATCAAATGGCCAAGCATTACTTGGAGCATATTTGGTGTAAACAATTGTAAATAGATGAAACTGCATCGTTAAAATTATTGAGAAAAACATGAAATTATGTGATAATATAAGCTTAGTGAAGTTAATTTTAATAAAAAAATTTGAGCGGAAAGTATTGAGTATAATATTTAATTCTGAATAATTCTGCATTCATCAATTTTTCGAGCTTTAGTCTGTTTCTTCTTGTTATCAATAAAAGTGACAATAAAGTAATGGTTTTCAGTTAATTTTGGAAATAATGAAGCAGTTTTGTTATCAATTTCAAGAACTGTCCATTGTCCTGCAATCCAAAACTCTGTAGGCAATGGAATGACTAATAAAAGGAGATATTTCATGGTTCTGATGAATTTTTCCATTTCTGCCATTAATTTCGGATAATCCGTTTCCTCTAGAAAAGCTGGACAACTAATTTTCGGGCATCTTTGTGTAAACTCTCTGTAACTTATAACATCTACTTCGATACCTCTGTTTAGATCATTGCAGACAGATTTACAAAATGGTTTGTCTGGACTGTATCGGAAAAATTCAACATATTCCTTGACTTGTTCCATGGGCAGTTTGTGAGGGTAGAAATCAACTGAAAGAGGATCAACTCTGATAGATTTAATAATGTTTGATGTAACATTATCAATATCCTTCTCTATCAATGTCAACATGACGACGTCTGTCTTATCAAATGATGATTTCGATAAACCATAACAGCTTTCCAGTTCCATGCTCATTTTCTTGGTTAATTCGGTATTTTCATGATACAAACTTGCTTCACTTGGAAAAGTGCGAATCACAACATCCTCTTCCAAAAGTTTTGAGCCAATTCTACTTGGATATCTATAGTAAGTAGCATTGCTTATGAAGCATCGCGGGGGATCGACCGCTAGATGGGAACAATTTTTACATCTTTTATTGTTTAAATGTGAAATGGGAGCACAAGAGTAACATTTAGCTACCTGAGTGTGGTGCAAAGAGTAATAGCAAGAGAGAGCACAGCAATGGGAGCTATAGATAAGAGAGATAAGAGAGTGAAAGGAGAGAGAAAAGATGGAGCTAGAGAGGGAGCGGGAAAGAAAGAGAAAAAGAAAGAGTAAAGAAAGAGAAAAATTAAATTGTATTTTTACATTGAAAATATACATAAAATACATTTTCAATAACAAAAATACTAATTATTAATTAATTTTTCTCTTTCTTTTCTCTTTCTTTTCTCTAATTTAGGTTCAAGAATTGAAGATTTAAAGAATTAAAGGTTAAAGGTTAAGGTAAGTTTAATTCTATTTATTTATTTTAGACCTTTAATTCTTTAGTTTATTTAATTGTTGATTATATTTATTATTTATTATTTCGGGTATTTCGCTCTATTTGTTATTGTTTATTTGTTATTTGTTATATTTCATCTATTATACATTCGTTTTATCTACTTTTTTGCTAATCTGTCAGTTTTACGCAAAATTATTGTTTTGCATAATTATGTATATTAATTATTTGCTTTTATACCTCACGCATTTGTTTCTAATGTTGATTTCCTTTTCAGGTATTATGGCGGTTGTTGAACCAGGGACAAGCCCCGCCAAGATCGTTCCCTGGGGTATGAGTATGAATGAGCATTTCAGGTTACGGCCTGCCAAATTTCGGATTGAGCTAGCTCTCCGCCTTAAGTAGAGAAAGGTGTATGGTGTAGGGGAACCTAACGTCAATTTTAGGAGGTTTTGAAGAATAGTTAGTTAATTGACGTTAGCTCAAGCTTTTATGGAAGAAGAGAGTTAGAGTGTGGTTTGAACTAGGGCGAAAGCACCACGCGTCCTGGTCTGCCACCGAGTGCTTTGGTTGCAGTTGTTTGAAAACTATTTTCATTAACTTCTTTTTTTAGATACAAAATCTGAAATTTTTATCACATTGCTAATTTTGTTTACATATTAATCATATTTTTTTCTTTCCAGGCGCTACTGCTTAGCTTTTACTTTTGTTTGCATTCAAAATATTGTCAGTTGTATTGTCAATTGTAAGTTCACATTCATTGAGAGTTTTCAGTCCATTGTCTAATTTTTATGTATCTATTTGTTATTGATTACTCAGGTTTTTTGTCCAAATCACTGATTGTATTGTGGCTTTGCATTAGCATCTTTACAGATAATAAGAAGTATGTTGCTTTATTACCCATTATTCATTTTGTTATTCTCATTTAAATTATATCATTAATCACATTGTATCTTTCATTGTATCTTTGCTTTTCCATAGTGGTTAACCGCAAATGTGCCATCATAAACTGTAGCTCAGCACAGCCAAACAACAATTCTGGCGTTACATTCTTTTCGTTTCCTTCGGATCGCCCTCAAGCTCAATCTTGGTTGCATCTCTTAAAAAATGGATTACCAGAGCATTTTACAGTTGACCATTGCGCAAAACTCTTTATTTGTTCACTGCATTTTGATGAATCTGAGTTTTACCGCCATAGAAACTACCTTAGACTCTTCCAGAATGCACGTCCAAGACTGATTGAGCACGATAGTGAATATTTTGCTGAACCTGTGAATGAATCTTTTGCTGAACCTATGAGTGAATCTTTTGCTGAACCTATGAGTGAATCTTTTGACATTGAGATGGAAGAAGCAACTGAAACACCAGCAGCAAATACAATAGGAGTACAATGTGACTCAGATCCGAATCACCAGTTGAAAGAACTGCAGAAAAAGTTTGCTTACCTTCAAAGAAGCTATAATAAACTTCGTAACGATCCATCCCAAGCTTTTATCTGCAAACATCTTGATAAACTCCAGCCTCTTGTGTCATCAGAAGCCTTCACACTTTTTGATTGCGCTGTGAAAAATAGCACTTTGTTGCCACAACTGAGACGACACACGACCGCTTCGAAGCAACTTTGCAACGTAATCAACAGCAAAAGTACCAAAACCTTTAATATTCTTCGAGAATTTTTCGCTTTACCCTCAGCCAGAACGCTCGATCGATTTAATAAGGATTTGTTCACAGCAACAGGGGTATCACCTGAAATAAAATCTGCTCTTCGTCGTCACGCTCAAACAACAGATGATGAAGATAAATACATTGTGATGAGTTTCGATGAAACTGAAATCAAACCTGGATTTACATATTTGCCTAGACAAGATT